CAACACGCTGTTTGAAACGCCGTGTCTCTCCGGGAGATTCATAAACCTTTTAAAGGCAAATCGAAGGATTTCCTCTCTCTGGAGGAACAAGGCATCTTGGTGGGCTGGGAGGCTGCCAGGCTGGTGAAGTGCCTGGGAAAATGAGTTCCCAGGGTGGACTGAAAGCTCTTTTAAGAACACGAGTACTGGAGGCAAAAGAAGGCAGAGTGTCTGTCTTGCTTGCAGCCGAAAGGAAAGAAGGCCAAGGGCAAGAAGGTGGCACCGGCCCCTGCTGTGGTGAAGAAGCAGGAGGCCAAGAAGGTTGTCAATCCCCTCTTTGAGAAGAGACCCAAGAACTTTGGCATTGGTGAGTAAGTGGGTATTTGGGCTGCTCGCTGAATGTTTTTTGGGATTACAGACAGACATGTAAACCATAAACAGAAGCGTATTGTAATAAGGCTGTAGCTTGGAGAGTGATGAAGGCAGCTGCCTTGCTGCCTGTAATTAAGAGCTGTCCTTCAGTAGGTATATGAAGGTGGCTACAGACATTTTGCTGAATTTCCTGTTTTATGAAGATTCCTTATACTTATTCCTGTTGTGATGAATCCTGCCCTTTTGCATGTGATGTGGTAAATCACTTTAGATTTTTGGAGTGCTGTTTTTGCACTGCGTGCAGATGATGTGAAAGAATATTTGCTATCTGAGTGATAGTGCTGACACATTGCCACCAAGATCACTGATGCACTCGTGCCTATTCCATGATGTTGCCGTGCGGGTTTGGAGCATCTTTGAGTTAAAGTCTGTGTTTTTAGGACAGGATATCCAGCCGAAGCGTGATCTCACACGTTTTGTGAAATGGCCGCGCTACATCAGGCTGCAGCGCCAGAGGTCCATCCTTTACAAACGCTTGAAGGTGCCTCCTGCCATTAACCAGTTCACTCAGGCTTTGGACCGCCAAACAGGTAAGGATGCGCCCCACAGAGTTCTCTTGACTTGCGTCCTTAATGGGATGTGCCTCAGAGAAGAGGAAAGAAACCAAAACAAGACTTAACAAAGGTAAGCTGGAGGATCTTTTTGGAAGCGTTTTAGGGAGGCTTTAATAGTGATGGGTTGATGTCAACAGCAAACTCCTGCCCGAAACTGCTGGCTGAAGTCTTGATAGCTGCTGTGTACTTCGAAAAGGGAATAGAAGATACCAAAGGTCCTACTTACTGACTCAAACCTGGAGTTATCTTAATGGTGTGCTTCCATTAGAGTCCATGCTTCCAGCCTGGTGTAGAACACGGAGGGTTCTTTTAACTGCGTAAACAGATAGTTTGAGAAGTCTGTATGAGTGCAGGCTTTGGAGGTAAAGCCAGCATCCTGCAGGCTGACAGTGCAGTGGGGCAAGCAGGGACTTCAGGGTCTGCTGTGAATGAGTAAATAGTCTTTTCCAGGTGACAGTGTCTATGCAAGAAACGTTCCGCCTATGTAGAGCAACTCTTGTAGATGTTGCCAAATGAGTTGCTTGCTTTAAGGGAGACAGTGCACAACCTTTAACCATAATTGCTGTGGGGTCCACGGGCATTTCCTCATCCACATGGTGAAGGGGCTGCCATTGCCAGCAGAGGTGCACATAGAGGTAAATACGGGCTCTAGAGGCACTCTGCCAGCTCTGCTCTTGCACTGTGCAAATGGTACTGACTTTTTGCTGTCCAAATACATGTGATGACAACCACCAAGACTGCTGATGCACTGCAGCCTTTTTAAAAGTAATGCTAAGATTTTTTTTTTTTGGCCATGCAGCTAACTAACGAGTAGATGATCTCTTCCAGCTACGCAGCTGCTGAAGCTGGCACACAAATACAGGCCAGAAAATAAGCAAGAGAAGAAGCAGAGGCTGCTGGCTCGTGCTGAGCAGAAAGCTGCAGGAAAGGGAGATGCGCCGACTAAGCGGCCACCAGTCCTCCGAGCAGGTAACTTTCTGTATGGACTCGGCTGCTTGCAAATCTGGGAGTGTGGTTTTCAGTTAGAAAACTGGTGAGAAGAGTTGGTGCTGTGCTCCAGCCACACAGGATTGGACAAGCTATTGCAATGATGTATGAATTTCTTCACCTGAGCTCAAAGTGAAGAGCAAAACAGACGAGCTTTTTAACCCTGAGCTTTAGCAAAATGTCCACGGAGTATCTTCTCTCTGCTACTGAATGGATGTGAAAAGTTTTTGTAACTTTCGTAATGAAGCTGTGCTATGGAATCTGAGCTGGTTGTATGAGGCTTATAAGAAAGCTCTAGAAGTAGGCCGAGTGGAATCAGAGCTTACCTGTAACTTGTTTTTCAGGTATCAACAGTGTCACAACTCTGGTAGAGAACAAGAAAGCTCAGCTTGTGGTTATTGCCCACGATGTAGACCCTATTGAGGTGAGCATACTTGCTGGCACGTGTTACAGGCTATCTGTGTAACCTAAGCTAAGGTCAGCATTGGGCTTGGGGGTCAAAATGCATTTTAGGACAAGTTCATTGTGTGAAAAGAGAATGCATGAAAAGACATTTACGAGAACTGGAATACTGGAGCGTGTTCATGGTTTTCCTGGTATTACAGTGAGGCTGGGCCCTTGCAATGATGTATGAATTTCTTCACCTGAATCAACAGTGAAGAGCAAAACGAGCTTTTTAACACTGAGCAACTGCCACAGCCTCGGCTGGTGCAAAGAATAAGACAATGTTCTCTCTCAGTTACACAGCATACTCTCTTCCTTTCCAGCTGGTGGTCTTCTTGCCAGCTCTGTGCCGCAAGATGGGGGTGCCATACTGTATCATCAAGGGCAAAGCCAGACTGGGGCGACTGGTCCACAGGAAAACTTGTACTTCTGTTGCTTTCACCCAGGTTAACCCGTAAGTATTTTGTGTGTTGACTTCATTCACTGTAGTGGAGAAAGCAAACTGCCTGTAAGCGGATTGTAGGGCAGATGGATAGCAAAACTGGGTCTCTGTAGCTTGTAGTAAAACTAAACAAAATACTACCTTTCTGATGTCTAATACAGATGTCTTTTTGTATGAAGAGCTCTGTCAGATTCTGAAGATACAGATATTTTGGTTTCCCAAAATGGATGGTTACTCTAAAATAATGTGGATGGAACTATTAACCTTAATCTGAGCAGTGCAGTTTCCTAAAGCATTAATGGTTTGAGTCATTAACCCTTTGCAAATGATGCTTATGCTTAATCTGAAAAATCACATTACTGCTAAGAGCTCTTAAATCCTGAGGCAAAAGATGTATGGAAAAGATTAAACTGAGGCTTGAAAGGAACTGAAATTCTTGCCAACAGGGAGGATAAGGGAGCCCTTGCAAAGCTGGTGGAGGCTGTCAAGACCAACTACAATGACAGATACGACGAGGTAAGATTCTCTGTGCTGCTAGCCTCTAGTTTGTACTCTTGCCATCCCCAAAAGCTTCCCAGTGAAATGCACGTTGTTTCAGAGAGAGACACACATCAGCTTCAAGCCTGTTGGGCGTGTTGTACCTTGATTTGCTTTGTTATCCAGATAGTTTACCTGAGCGTGGGTTAAAATGTGAATGCTGTCACCAAGTTACAACTAAAGGGAGCTGTTGAGGGGTCGGATGGCTGAGGGCAACAGCTTCTGCTGGGCTCCATCCCTGTGTGTGATGGCTGAATCCAGCACCATTCACGAGGAAAGATTTTAAACTCTGTCTCTGCCCTCTCCTGAAACATAGTTCTCTGCTTGAAATTTGTAAGGCTTCCTGGCAGAGGGAGCTTTTCCTCTTGTGCATAGAGGGATGGAATTGAGCACAGTGATTGAGTGACATAGTAAGAGATTGTGCATCTGACCTGTTCTCCCTTCTTTGCAGATCCGTCGTCATTGGGGCGGGAACGTCTTGGGTCCAAAATCGGTGGCTCGCATTGCTAAGCTTGAAAAAGCAAAGGCTAAGGAACTGGCTACTAAGCTGGGCTAAAGGTGTACTGGGTTGCTGTTTTCTGTACATAAAAAGAATAAACCCCCAGTTAAAGTTTCAGTGGTCTCTGTTGATGAGTGTTTCAGGCAGTGGGTAGCACACCAGCATTGCCTTCCAGCAAATGATTGAGTAGTGCTGAACAGAAACAGCTGCACAGAGCAGGTTCTTGCTTTACTGGAAACAACTGCCCTTAACTGCTTGTCCTGTGTCTAATTCCTCTCCTGTGAAAACGCAGCCCCTCAGCTGCATGTGCTGTGTGCTCATGAAATCCAATGAGTTAGGCTGCTGCTGGCTTTATGCCCACCTTGTGCAAATACCTCTCAGCTGGAAACAGCTCTAGATGGTCTCTGCCACTTAGACTTCGTTACAGTATGGTTTATATAGGGTGTTCTGACACTTCCCCAGGCTGACCAGATAGGGACCTCCTCTTAGGTCTGTAATGCCTCTTCCAGGGCAGGAATGGTCAGTGAAGGCAGGCTAAAGCGGTGGGAGAAAAATCTAGACCTTTGTGTTCTTCTGTTCTTTCCAGACTGCTAACTTGGTCTTGTGGCACTGGCAGAAGCTACCAAGCCGGGTAAGGCTCCAGGTGAGGTAGCTGCAGCTTGTTTCTGCTCACCTTCATAGTGCTCTTGCAGAGAAAGCCACAGGCTGCCTGTGAGTACCCACAGTAACCTTGAGTTGAGACCTGTCACTCTGAAGATGCACAAGTCACAAGGCAAGCACCTCTAGGCTCTTTATTTATTTACTCTGATGCAACTGCTGTGAACCACTCCAGGCTTCAGGAATGACTACTCAGTGCAAAGAAACTTTGATTCACAAAATCCCTTTTGGAAATACAGCAGTGAAGTTAAAACTTACCAACCACAATAGAAAAGTGTAACCTCAAGATCTCTAGTGAAGCTGGTTTATGCAGCAGTCTCGGCAGCTGCTGAAACAATTCTGAAGTTGAGTGCTATGAAATGGCACTGGTGGGATCTCAGAGCCTGTATCTGTCGCTTTAAGTTTTTACACTCTGGGTGCTTCAGTTACTTGGGACTGATCAGAGTGCTGTCTTCTGTCAAAGCCTGCTCTTGATTGTAGTACAGAGGAGCCCTTTCCCTCACAGAGGTATCTTTTTTACAAATTTTCTGTACCACAAGAATGAAGTTGCAGCACATAAGCCGTACCTGTGAAAAAATAAAACCACACGTTTACACCTTCTTTCCAAGATGGACTTCCCTAAGTCATCTGTGGTGCAATGAAACACGATTATTTCAAATCCCTGTGCAAATGTTCCTTAAGCTACAAAAGCCTAAAGCTTTAACTTAGGAGCTCATCCAGTCTCACTGTGGCCGGAGCAAGAATGCCAGGCAAAGTGTGGCATTTAGAAGAAACGTTGGACGGTCAGTGGAAGGCTGTCTGGGCAACTTACCAGGTGACAATGTACTGCATGTGCTCATTCCTCAGGCTCACCCTCGTCTGGCCGCCGATGGGCCCCCCTGGGACTGTGCTTTCTACGGGTACAACACAGTGCACAAGTTAATCACCAGTCTGCACCGTGCAGAGCTGCCCTTGCTATGAGCAATGGGATGATCCTATGAAATAACTAACTGAAGGGAAAGGGAGGGAGGCAGAAGGTGGGGCTGGGTTCCTCTGTGACTTACTGAAATCTGCATCAATGAAGATCGGCTCGGCACCGGTCACTTTTGCCATGGCCTCCAGGTCACGGTAGTGCCAGCGGTTTCTCTCAATGTTATTTTCAGGCACAAAAGGTTTCCTGGTTTCTGATAGCCTCACCACCCCGGTGAGATCAATTTCATCTTCTATCTGCAGAGGAGGAAAAAAAGTAATCTTTAAACATTCATGTCATGTTCCAGCATACCAGGTCCTGGTAGAAAAATGTCACTTGCAAGATCTGATTATAAATCAAGTGGTCGTGCCCTGCAGTGAGGCAGTGCTGTAACACAGCAGGAAAAAAAGCAGATCAAGAACAAATCCTTGATTGTAAAAAACATTATTTACTTAAAAGGTGGGAAGACAAGTTATCTTCTTTGCAAAGTGCAGTGAGTGACCTCCCATGATGCTGAACATGGCCACTGCCTGCCTTGGTGTGCCAGTCGTGCCTCTGGGTAATCCCAGGGCAGAATGTAACACACCACATTCCCTGTATCCCTCTTACCTGTCCCTTCAGCCTGGTCTCTGGTTTCAGTTTCTTTTTGGGCACAAATCCTCGGTTGACTAAAATCGTGACCCTGGAGTTACATAAAGAAGTATGGCTCAGGAGTGAAGGGAAATTTATTTTTGGTGCTGCCTAAAAACTAAGTGGCAAAGAAAGAAGCAACCCGTATGTTTGGCGCCACTCTTGTCATCGGAGTGCACGTTTTGGGGCAATTTGAATGCAATTTCAAATCAAGACTCAGTGATCAGAGTGCAAGAAATGCCTTTTAAGGGAGAGGGAGTCATTTATATAAACCCAGCCACCATGATGCAGCTTTTCAAACCAGAAATGAACCACGACTTTCGTTAACTTACCCTAGTTCTGTGCAGTAGAAGGGAGTAACGACATTTGCTCCGTTTTCCGGGTGGGATGTCAGCCGCCCGGCTTCTCTGGCTTCTCGCTCCGAGTCTACAAGTGACCGTGGCAAAATGTAGAGCTCCTTGGAGTGGTCAAAATGCCCTCGGACCTTTACAGGTCTGTACTCCAGTTCCTTCAATTCCATGGGGCTGCGTGGAACAAAAGGAAAACAAAATCACGGCTGCGACAGGCAAATCAAATTAGGGATTTTACGTTGGGATTCTGTTTCCCAGTGGTTCACTCGAGCCAGATGGCAAAGAGAAACAGGAGACAAACACCTCGCAGAACAAGCAGCTGAGTTAGTATTTTCTTACTATCGCAGTGAATCAAATTGAGGGGACTGTGAGTATCCAGAAAGCAGTTCTTTTCCAGGATATCTGTAAGCCAGTGCCACTTTCAGGGCACGCACAGCTGGTCAGCAGGCAGAGACACTGCACATGCACCCAGCCAGCAGTGTTTCTTTCCCATCCCAGACCACAAAATGGAAGAACTGAACTGTTGTGACAGTTGTGACCTTAAAAACCTCTCTCGCATCTGACACAACTGCTCCACGCTTGGGGCAGCGCCTGCTACTGATTCAATACTCCCGGTGCAGGAATAATCCCTTTGGGACATCACAGCCACCAAGCCCTCCTTCTCCAGGAGGATTACATCTGGTATGAACTACACACCACATTCTCCTGAACAGAGATTCGTCCTCTTCACAGGCATTTAGAGTATCCCTCAGGGAAACCTTCCCTTAGTCTTTTACTAAAAGTAAGAAAATCAACAAGATATCTATCTTTCTAATTTGCTTGCCCGTCGCGATTTCCATTGCATTCCCTTATTTTCACGCAGTTTAGTTCAGCATAAGCTCATGACTGCCGGGACTGTATCCCATATCCTCAGCACCGCCAACGCTCTGTGGACAATAAACCCATCATCTCAGCTTCCGTACTCCAATGGCAGAGGGATGGGCTCCGATGATATTCTTGATGCCAGCTGGGCAATCAAATCTAACTTCCACTTTCGTCGCTGAATCTGAAAGTACACAAACACAAAAGTAATTCCTCATTATTAGTAATTCCTTATTATAATTCCTCTGGTAGAACAGAGCCATGTCATAACCTTACAGCCTTCGTCGTAAGCTCCTTCTCAGACCCGGCCTACACCAGGGTAACTGGAGATACGGAAATGGAGGCTACTGACTTTACTACTTTCCTTTTGAGGAAATATTTATACTGAAATAAAGGTGTAAAAAATAAGAAATTCTCCTTTAAAGACTTACAAATGGACACGTGGAAAGCAGCAATGTAAAATAACAACAAATCTCTACCCTGCATGTGATTTGAACGATTAAACAGCCAGAGATGGAGAAACCTGACAGTTCCTCAAGTGCTCGTCTCAGTCAAGTGTTTGTACCTGCCACGTGCCGAGGCAGAACGCTGTCAGAGGGACCAGGAAAAGGCCCCATTTGAGTAAGATGTCCTCTCCAGACGCATCAGCAGCTGTTGCAGAACTCCGTGGTCTGCAGAACCTCAAACAAACACCTCGAGAAAAACAGAATGAGGAACAGGATTTGCACAGGGGAGGAGATAACAAATTCCTGCAGAAAATGTCACCTCTTGGTATAAGGCTGAAAAAGGGCAGAAGCCCAAAATCTTTTCTTACCTTTATTCTGCTGGACCGGACCAGGACCTGCTTTAATCAGGGGAGATCCAAAAAGTGTTCTTCGGATCAAGCAACGTGACACCTACATGAAACGAGAAGGATCCTTCGTAGTGTCTCTGCTTTGCAAAACGCGCATCTGGATGACATCAGTCGCCTCAGGGATTGCAGGAAATTTTGTTTATTCGCTGATTTAAGCGACACTACGGGTTGGGTTATAATTTAAAAAAAAATCAAATCAAATTCCGGTTACAGAGCTGACTCCGGCACCGCAAACGATCTTTCCCTTTTACCGCCCTTTTCCCACCGATTCCGCTCAATGTTCCCTATGGACACCCGTCCCCACACCGCGACCGGGAGGCACCGACCCCCGCGCCCAAAGCCCGGGCG